TAATAAGAGTTGTTACCTTTCCAGGGCAAAGGGCATCCCAGGTGGATGGGTAACAGGAATGAGGGCAAGACTTTTCACCCATTAACTTTTTGTCTGATTTTTCAACCATATGAATGTGTTACCTTTTTAGAATCATGAGGATTCTGAACAATGCCAAAATCATAGAACAATTATTATTTAATTCAGTTTTTCGACTGCATACAATATGTAGAAACAATGATAAACACAACTAAAATGTTAAAATTTTCAGTCATAAGAACTTATATCATGACTTTCCATTCATTTATTCTTTAGTTACTTTATACTTGACAGAAATGATCACTGTATTAATATTACATTCTCATTTATTATAATTTTATTTGAATTGTTCATAAAAAGTTGAGAGGTACCAAAAAACCAAAAGAAAAAAAAATTACTCTTGCTGGTGACCAAAATTGGCCCTTCAATTACCACAATTACTTGGTACCAAACAAGACATCAGGTACCACCACAGACCAACCAAATCAGAACTCTGTTGGGCACAATATCCTCTCCAAATAAATTACACCAACCTCAACTTTAAAAAAAAAAAAAAAATCAGACCTGTGTTGTGGTGGAAGGCAGGAACCAATGGGAAACTATATTTAAAAAAAGAAATTAAAGATGAACAAAATCCTTCCTATGCTGATTCTGCTGTATTTGGGAGCAGTTATTTAGTCCACACCCTGCTCCTTTGCACACACTTTTACTCTCCTTTTGTCAAACCTGGGATCTAAAATAACTTGAGTTTTCTTTTTTTTTTTTTGAGATGGAGTCTTGCTCTGTCGCTAGGCTGGAATGCAGTGGCACAGTCTCAGCTCACTGCAATCTCCGCCTCCTGGGTTCAAGCAATTCTCCTGCCTCAGCCTCCCAAGTAGCTGGGACTACAGGCGCATGCCACCACGCCCAGCTAATTTTTTTGTATTTTTTAGTAGAGACAGGGTTTCACCATGTTGGCCAGTATGGTCTCGATCTCTCAACCTCGTGATCCACCCACCTCCGCCTCCCAAAGTGCTGGGATTACACGCATGAGCCACCGCGCCTGGCCAGCTTGGGTTTTCAAATTCTTTTCCTTTCACTCAACATCTACTCAGGCTTTCTTGTTTCTCTTTTTTTCATTTTTCAGTTATGGAAGACAACTGTACCTCTGTCTAATGCCTTGTAAAATATTTTGTATATTTTATACTTTTCCCAGAGCAGGGGAATTAACCACAGCCTGCTGTCCCTAGAAGCTCTTCCAATAGACTAGAACAAGGGTTGAGAAACTATGACCCTGGGGCCACATCCAGCCAACCACCAGTTTCTTGTTTTTGTAAATAAAGTTTTACTGAAACACAGCCACACTCATTCATTTTCCTACTGCCAATGACTACTGTCTTGCTACAACAGCAGAGTCAAGTGGTTATGATGCTATCTTGTCCTTTACAGAAAAAGTTAGAAGACCCTGATCTAAAATCATGAAAATTATCCCCTGTCACTAAGGATAGAGATGGTAATAAGAACTTCTTTTTAGTTACTATATGATAATGATTAGCATGTCAGCTACTTCTGGTTGCGTTGATAATTAGCTACAAATAGCCAAAAGGTAGAAATAGAAAAAGGGAGATGAAACAAAAGACTGCAAAACAAAAGATCTCCAAGCTAGACATCCAGGACCTAACTGCATGATAAATATTACAAATACACAAAATGAGGAACCATCCTGGCTCTGAACAGGAACCAGATGAGACTCTGCCCTGCCTTGCAGCCTACCTGTTCTGCCAGCCAGGCAATATGCTTGACCTCTTTACTGCCTCCTGCTGCACTGGTTGCCCCAAGCATGGCGTTGAGTTCAGCCAATACCTGTGGGAGGAGAGCCATTATGTTGGTGTGGATAGCTACGAACCAGGAGTGTGCTGTGGCCGTATCTTTGCAGCGTAGGATCAACGTGTTCCTGCTATCAGGAGAATGTAGCTCTATCAATCTGTGTGGAAAAAGAAAAAACAAAAAGTGAGCTAGGACACAAGTCACCAAACCTGCCAGGTTTAAACTACATAACTGCAAATCTGTATTAATTTTGCATTCTTCAAATAAATCTGTATACTCAAATAAAGACACTTTCTTGGCCAGGCACGGTGGCTCACGCCTCTAACCCCAGCACTTTGGGAGGCTGAGGCAGGAGAATTGCCTGAGGTCAGGAGTTTGAGACCAGCCTGGCTAACATGGTGAAACCCCATCTCTACTAAAAATACAAAAAAATTAGCTGGGCATGGTGGCGTGCACCTGTAATCCCAGAGATCGCGCCACTGCAGTCTAGCCTGGGCAACAGAGCAAGACTCCATCTCAAAAAAAGAAAAAATTCAGAAAGACCAACTTGGGTTAGTTACTGAACCTGAGAAAAAATTTTAAAAAGAAAGACCAACTGCTGGATCTGTTGCTTCAGTGTTAATGTAATAAGCTACAATTAGGGAACCTACTATAGAGCCTATAGTAGATCACTTTGCCTTAATTTCTATGTCTAAGAAATGAAAAGCATGCTTGCCGAACCACATAGGCACACTGTAAAGGAACTGATATTCTTTTAAACATTTAGGAAATTCTAGTATAAAGTAGTGACAGGTTAAAAATACCTACTGCCAAATGATACACTGAAATTTACATTATGTGAAATAAATGAACAGAAAATTAGCGCCCAGGCATGGTGGCTCACACCTGTAATCCCAGCACTTTGGGAAGCCGAGTTAGGCGGATCACCCGAGGACAGGAGTTTGAGACCAGTCTGGCCAACATGGTGAAACCCCGTCTCAACTAAAAATACAAAAATTAGCTGGGCATGGGATTACATGCCTGTAATCCCAGCTACTCGGGAGGCTGAGGCAGGAGAATCACTTGAACCCAGGAGTCCAAGGTTGCAGTGAGCTAAAATAATGCCACTGCATTCCAGCTTGGATGACAGAGCAAGACTCTGTCTAAAAAAAAAAAAAAAAAGAAAAAGAAAAGATAAAGAAAATAGCAGAAGATTATTACTCTTTATGAAAATTTGAAACTGTGTTTGGATAATTTTATACGATTAATCATTCAATAAGTTATGGTAGAAAAATAGTTAAGAGATCAACACTATACTGTTCTGCATTAGTTAATGCTCACCAAGAACAATCTATATTTCCAAAGTAACCTTTAGAAAACAGCTAAAATATTTTAAATATACAGTAAAAAAATTCTTTTTAAAGCAATCTACTGAATATTGTTTTGTGTTTTAATCAGTTATTGTGAAGATGAATTTTAAAAGTCAAATAAATAAATGACTAACATATATACTCTGCTGTGAACACATATCTTTTCAGTTATTGTGACGATGAATTTTAAAAGTCAAATAAATAAATGACTAACATATATACTCTGCTGTGAACACATATCTTTTACAATGAAAAAAAAAATATCAGCCATTAGGAGGTTTTTCATGGTAGGCTACAAATTGACAAACTGCCAGTAAGTTTTCTTTACATTATTTTCTGAAGACAGTTTTTGCTGCCTTAAAGCATTATCATCAGATTCTATGCCACTTGTCAAAAAGATAAGCAATTTACATGTACACTAGCATTTCTGCTTTGAAGCTCTTTTGTCAGTTTCTAAACCCTTTATAATTCCAAATACTCAGAAATAAAAAAAACAAAACAAACAAAAATTCTAAATATTCTATCATATTTTGTATTGCAAATAATCATTTTCATTTGAATTCTAGTTGGTCTATCCTTTCTTAAATAAACATCTATTGAGCACCTACTACATGCCAAATATTGTGTTAGGCATTGGTATTAGCGATAGAGTGATGAAAAAAAAACAGATCATCTAGCTACTTCCAGGCCTACCTACCAGTCTATCCATCTTTCATATGCTGTCAAAATTCTACGGTAACAGCAAAATAGGACAAAAGTTCTAGAAAATATGAGGCATAAAATAAGAGTTGTAAACAGCAAAAATGCTTAAGAAAAGTCCGTATTTGAAAATTCGTATTACTCAGAGGAAAATCTTTGGATACCAAGTTTTAAGCTATTTGCTTTTGATTTAGATACAGTTCTGATGAGGTCTTCATTTGATTTCCTATCCTATAGCTAAATATAATGAGAGGTAGCTTCATTCCAGAATTTAGAGGGCCTTTAATAGTAGGTTAAGTCTGGATATTAATTGGTAACTTTTTTTTTTTTTTTTAAAGAGACAGGGTTTCACCATATTGGTCAGGCTGGTCTCGAACTCTGAACCTCAGGTGATCTGCCCGCCTTAGCCTCCTAAAATGCTGGGATTACAGGTGTGAGCCACGGTGCCCAGCAACTTTTTTTTTTTTGAGACAGAGTCTCACTCTGTTACCCAGGCTGGAGTGCAGTGGCACAATCTTGGCTCACTGCAACCTCAGCCAGATGACCAAGTGAGACCCCACCTCAATAAATAATTAAGTAAGTAAGTAAGTAACAATAAAATAATTTTATGGTAGGATGTGAGATTAGTTACAATAAAGAGAAAAATGGCCTGGTGAGATTTAATTGAACCCAAGAAGAATGAGAGACTACACAGAAGTCATCAGTAGGGACACAGATTCACAGACTACTGGGCAGGAATTCTTCCATCCTAAGAGCCCACTGCAGCCTCAACCACACAGGTTTTGAGTGCTCCTCCCACCTCAGCCTCCCAGTTAGCTGGGACTACAAGTGTACACTACCACACCCAACTACTTTTTTTTTTTTTTTTTTTTTTTTTTTTTTTTTTTACTTTTTTTTTTTTTTTTTTTTTTTTTTTTTTTTTTTTTTTTTGAGGCAGAATCTCGCTCTGTCACTCAGGCTGAAATCTCAACTTAGTGCAACCTCTGCCTCCCAAGTTCAAGTGATTCTTCTGCCTCAGCCTCCCGAGTAGCTGAGACTACAGGCGTGCGCCACCACACCTGGCTAATTTTTATATTTTTAGTAGAGACGGGGTTTCACCATATTGGTCAGGCTGGTCTCAAACTGCTGACCTTGTGATCTGCCCACCTCGGCCTCCCAAAGTGCTGGGATTACAGGTGTGAACCACCACACCCAGCTCCCAACTACTTTTTTAAAAAAAATGTTTTGTAGAGATGAGGTTTCACTGTGTTGCCAGGCTGGTCTTGAACTCCTGGGCTCAAGTGACCCTCCTGCCTTGGCCTCCTGAAGTGCTAGGATTACAGGCATGAGCCACCGTGCTTGGCTCCTTTGTATATCTGGGATACCAGTCCTTTATTGGATATGTACTTTGTAAAGATTGTTTTCCCAATGTGTGGCTTGTCTTTTCATTCTCTTAAGTGTCTTTTGCAGAGCTTAAGTTTTAAATTTTAAAGATGTTCAACTTGTCAATTTTTCTTTATGGATTGTGCTTTTGGGGTTGTATGTAAGAAGTCACCATGAAACGTAAAGGGGATTTTTTTGTTCGGTTCCAATGCAAAGGGGAATTTTTTTTTTTTTTAAGTATAATGTTACAAATCCAAGGAGAACAGGAAAGAAGTGACTACAACAAAAGTTTGGAAGCTAGTAAACAGATAGAGGAGTTAAATGACTTAAGAAAAAGCCGACTTAAGAAAAGTGGAGAGTCACATCCCAGCCAATCCATGTTGGAGAATCCCTAAGTGGCCGGAAAGCAGTGGTACCAGTTACCTCTGGAAGTGACAGTAAAGCATGCAGCTTTACTCTGCATGGTATAAAGAGGCTGGCTGAAACCCTGTCAGCATTCCCCACACCCAGTGGCCAGTGACTGCCCCACCTTCATTCTAGCAAAAGATTCAGAATCACTCTCATTCCACCAAACTGGGTTGTGGGGGTAATGATGTCCTTAGTTCAGATCATATATCAGGCTATTTTCTAGAGGGACTATTTATTTCCATCTAGTTGCTTTGACACTGTAAGCAGTATAACATCTTTTAAGCACATGCTAGAAGTTCAGCTGCAAAACCTTGACCAGAAATTTCCTTCACTCCTCCTACTGACCTACTTAGCACTAAAGACAGGAATCAGTTTATCCTTCTCGAGGCACAGAATGTTCACCTTCTGAAAGTTTTTACACATCATACAATTCCTAGGACAATCTCTCAGACATTTCTCCCTTGACACAGTCTATGTTCTGAAAATCCTGATGTCAGAGATTCTAGTAATTAATAACTAGAAGAATGGAAAATAAATCTGTTATAAAATCAAACTAAGCCTTGTTAAACACAAGTAGATACCAGGACCACCAGGCTGAAAAAAGATGAGAATAGACAGTAAGTTATTTCCCACTGACAGTTCACCAGTTTTTTGTTTTTAATTTTTAAAAAAGATGGGGTTTCACCATGATGGCCAGGCTGGTCTTGAACTCCTGACCTCAGGTGATCCACCCACCTTGGCCTCCCAAAGTGCTAGGATTACAGGCGTGAGCCACCGTGCCCGGCCAGTTCACCAGTTTTTTAATGAAAAGAAAAATTCTGTGATTTTTCTAGAAAAGGGATTGTGAAATGGGAAAATTAAATTAGAAGAAACAGAAAACAAACTCCAATATAAGACTGATGAGTCTAGGATCCAAACCTAGAAGATCTTTGAAGAAACCATTAAAACTGACAAAGGGAACAAAGTAATTTGTAAAGGCTACTGCTATTTTAAAAGAAAATTCTAACGAAAACTTTGCTAATAAAAATATGGAGGCAGTCTGCCAGTAATCATTCGGCCCCACAAGGGAGAAGAGGAGACAGTTATAATGTGTAAAGTTTTGGCCTCTTGTCAAACCCCTGAGGATTTCCTGAGAAATGCAATTAACATTTTGATGAGATGAATCAAATCAACGTTTAGGTACACAGGATTCTGTAAGTCCAGCTTTATTTCTCCAGTTTAGCAAAGTCTTTGATATAACTTATGTGTTAAACTTAGTAATAATCACATAATTTTATGCATTATAAAGCCAAAATTTACCTTGTACATGGAAAATAGCCAATGTGAAGATGACTGAGGAACTGTGAACCAACGCAAAGAACATGAATTTACATTTCTGAAGAGG